GAAATGTGCGAAATTTCAAGACCTTTCTGAAAATGTATAATATCTCAAAATTTGAATCTTGACAAATAGGGTAAAAAGTTAAAAATCAGAATAGATAATGTTTTATGTTGTATCGCGATATTAGAGAACTTTCATCGAAAAATTTGAAAGTTCACAGTGAGAATAAAGAAAATCTAAAATCTATATAATCCAAAATCCTGGACTAATTTTTCTATCAAAACCCGAAAAATGTATACAATTCAAAAAAAAGGCCTAATGTAAGAATTTGCCCTTCCACCCCGCTTCCCAACGACATCAAGAGGTGAAGTGTAGAATAAGAACATCGTAAAACAAGCGTATCGAAACAAAAAAAAAACATAAGATAGGAGAGAGAGAGAGAGAGAGAGAGAGAGAGAGAGAGAGAGAGACAGAAAAGAAGAAGTATAAGGTACTTGATTTGATTCGAGATGATGTAAAAAAGGAAAGGAGAGAGACAATGGAAAGTAAAAAGAAGAGGAAAAAGAAAGTACTTGTTAGGAAAGATATGATCTACATACTACAGACACATGGGCGGTTTCCTCGGGGGAATCTTATACCTTACAGTACTCCTCCAAATACGGTAGAGGGCATCTTCAAACATGTAGCTCCATAAAAACATCCATCGGTGATGAACTAAACTGTCAGAAACAGGGTCGTGGCTTTTTGGTTACCGTACTTCCTCTAATAGAAGCCCATGGGCTTCTATTTTTCAATATCTTTCTCAGGATAGGCTTCTATTAGAGGAGATACGGTAGTTTATTTCTGAGATAGGTAGGATTTGCCGACCTAATGGCCGGAAAACCGGACGGTTTGGTCCATGACCACCTATTCGGCTTGCAACCAAGGCAATTGAGATCAGCATAAATGGAAAAATTAACTTCCTAAATGTCTTAGGCTGAAGCACTTATCACTAATTCTCCCTAAATCCCATTTCCGGATTTAGGGAGTACAACGGAAACATGAGATTTGAGAACGTCATTGATACTATCGATTAGAAACTGAAGAAAACATTTTTTGGTTCAAAAATTGGTATAAATCAGTGAGCGAGGAGTGAAGCACAGACCTCCAATAGAAGGTCCCCCTGACTTCTACCCTATATATCTCGGTTCTTGTGAGAGATATCAAAAAGTGGTACACTGACAAAATGTTGCTTATTTTATAATCAACACTTTCATAGTTGACAAATTTTTGATATCTTTTCCGAGAACCGAGATAAATTTGGTCAAAGGTCAGACGGTCGGAAGATCTGATGGGCGGACCCGGATCGACTACAAACCAGCTCGTAACTCGGCTGCAACTTGGAATTTTTGTTAGATTCAAAACGTAAAAGGTAGAAATTTTCAAGATCTACAAAATGACGCAAAATTCAACTAGAGTTGACTGCTGAGTTGTGGGGACCAGAGCCCTAGGCGGCTGACGCTACCTGAACATTCTATCGCATCGTATGTTTATAAGCTTCCGGTTTAAAACTCTGGCATTCTCATATAATTGAATTATTAATCACTTTGTAGATCTTTTCAAGTTCTACATTTTGCTTTTTGTTTCAACTAAAAATTCCAATTTTGAGCTGAGTTATGCGCTGTAGAAGTTGACAACTTGTCAATGACTTGTATAAAAACAGCAGTAATGATATTAAAACCTCCTTTAAATGCATACCAGCTAATAAAAAAACATACAAACTAAATAAACACAGAATGACTAATTGATGTGTTTGCTTTTCAAATTATCATATCATTTTCTTTTGAAAAAAAAAGACGGGAAAAAACTACTGTAAACAACCTATAGGAGGCCCCACGAACCTTCAACTTTGACGAAAGCGGTTCCTGTAAAAGATATCAAAAAGTGGTCAAGTGACAAAATGTTTATCACAACATCAGCAACATTTTATCAGTAAATCATTTTTTGATACCTCTTATAGAAGTTAAGATAATTCAGGTTAAAAATGTGACAGTAGTGCCGACAGCGTGGCGCAGTAGAAGCGCAAGTTTCAGGTTCTTGTAAAAGTTATGAAAAACTAATTGACTGACAAAATGTTTATCATAGTATCAGTAACATTTTATCAGTTGACAACTTTTTGGTACCTCTTATAGGAACTGAGATAAATTGGCTCAAATTTAGGGGTCCAAAAACCAGGAAATCGAAAAAAAAGCATTCTTCGGATATCTGGAATCATTGAAAGCAATTATTTCTACACGAGATCAAAAGATAACAACTCACAATCAGAAAGCAAAGATAACAACCAACCCCGTAGCATTTCCTCCTGTCTAGTTCGCTCTGTTTTTTGTCTCTTTTGTTTGGCCTCATCCTCTCATTTTTTTTGAGGATGGAACGACCTCCTCCTAGTCTCAATAACAACTTAATTTATTGTATTATCCATTGAAATGAGAAATACATCGGAGGAGAGACTTGTATTTTTTGCAGAAAAATGACTTTCGGGAAAATAAAGTTTTCCAGTACAATTCTAGCTAAACACCAAGTTTCTAGGACCACTAGGAGCTGAGATAGGACTATTTAGAAGACAATAAGACACTCTTTCTCCCTACGTTTTTGACATTTTTCTCAAATAAAACTTTGGTCAATATCCATGAGTTTTCGATTTTTCTCAAAATTGACAATTTCCTAATCATTTTCAATCAAAAATCACTTCTCTAGCTCATCTAAAAGCCGAGATATAGCCATTTGAATTTTAGGAGGCGAGAGACACAGACAACGAGACTCTCTGACTGTCTGCGTCTCTTCTGAAATTCAAATGGCTGTATCTTGGCTTCTAGATGAGCTAAAATAGTGATTTTTAGACAGAATTGTATTTTTTTTTTCAGATTTTCGAACTTTTGAAATTTTTCGTCTTGTAATGTAAACGTGCTCCGATTCTACATGATTCTAAAAACCAACGACAAGAAAATACCGATTTTTTGGCACATTTCTGTCCAAAAATCACTTTCCTAGCTCACCTAGAAGCCGAGATATAGCCATTTAGAGTTTTGGAGAGACGCAGACAGTTAGAGTGTCTCGCTGTCTGCGTCTCTAGCCTCCTAAACTTCAAATGGCTATATCTCGACTTCTAGATGAGCTAGAAAACTGATTTTTGGACAGAAATGTAAAACTCTTCTCAGAATTTTAGATTTTCAAAATTTCGGACTTTTGAAAATTTTTGTCTTGCGATTTATGTATACTCCGAAATCCGAAATGATTCCACATGATTCTAAAAACCAACCACAAGAAAATACTGCATTTTTAACACCTTTCTGTCAAAGAACCACTTTTCTAGCTCATCTAGAAGCCGAGATATGGACGTTTGAAGTTTGAAGAGGCGCAGACAGTTAGAATCATAAATTAGATTATTTTGAATAATACAATTTCATTATCATTGGGACTAATCCCATTAAAACCAAAACATGTTGACACACAAACTTTGTAAATTCAATTTTTGGGGTGGACTGAAAAACAAAAAAAAAATTGAAAACCAAAAACAAATTCAGTACAGCTATAATAATTTTACTGTTTTCTAGGTATACACACTTTTAGGTGAATTAATCAAAATCTCATATTTTAGAAAGCACTCAAAATTTCCAGCATTTCTGTCAAAAAACCCACTTTTCTAGGATCACTGGGAGCCGAGATAAAGCGGTTTGAAGTTCAGGAGGTGAGAGACGCAGAAAGCGAGACACTCTAGCTATCTGCGTCTCTCCAAAACTTCGAACGGCTATATCTGGGCTTCTAGATGAGCTAGAGAAGTGATTTTTAGACAGAAATGTGTGAAATTTGAAATTCTATCGAAAACTATTTAATTTTCAAAAAAATCTATTTTGTTTTCAAAAAATATTCTAACTGAAATGTCATAAATTCTTCTATTGCCTAATAGAACTTCAAATTTCACACATTTCTGTCGAAAAATCATTTTTCTAGGACTACTGGGAGCCGAGATATAGTCATTTGAAGTTCAGGAGGTGAGAGACGCAGGCAACGAGACACTCTGGCTTTCTGCGTCTCTCCTAAACTTCAAATGGCTATATCTCGGCTTCCAGATAAGCTAGAGAAGTGATTCTTTTTTAGAAATGTGTGAAATTTTAAGAGATTTTTGAAAATGTAAAATGGATTAGATTTTAGATACAAAAAGTTTTCTAAAAATGCTAAAAATCTAAGAATCCAAATTCATTAGCTTATCAGTGAAAAAAAGAAGAGAGATAAAAGTGACTAGCTGATTACATAACCCGTCCAAATCTTCTATTTTTTCCATCCATCATATCTCTTTTCTCTATTTCTTATCTTTTTTTTTTCTTTTTCTTCTTCTTATTTTCACACCCACATTTCAAAAAACGGGAAAAAAGAAAAAGAGAAAAAAGTATCAAAATGTCAATCTCATCCTCAAAAATGACAGATTTTTGACCTATCGAATTACCCGGAAACTTCGGGGAAATGAGTGATTTTTCTTCTTTAAAACTTTGAAATTTGATCGGAGTTTTCGGGGGAAAAATAGAAAAAGCTTTGAAAAATTCTTGAGGGATCATCAATTAAAAAAAAAATTTTTAAAGAAATTTGAATTACAGAAAATCTGAAATTCCTCAAAAAAAAAACGGTTTTTCCCCGATTCTCAAAACTCGTTTTCAAATCTCCCACCGAAATTCCATGTCCTGGCCTAGAAATGAGATTAGATGGCCGAGGTTTCCCCGTTATTTCGGAGTGTCGTACTCCGCGAAAATTGAAAACTTTCGAATTTTTCGCCTTCATTTTTAGGCGTTTCTTATGAAATTTATCGAATTTTTCAGAGTATTTCTGATTAATCTAGCTGAGAATCGTTAAAAATGTTGTTTAAAATGTCTGAAATCGATGTATGCCCTGTAGAAGGTCGAAAAAGGAATACAATTTAAAAATAGCCTATTTTGCGGATTTTGCATGATTTCGATGCTATTTTCGCCTTTTTTCAAAACATTTGTATTTCAAAAATTAATTTTTCTCTCGAAAATGTTCAATTTTCTTCCAGAATGCTGCATTTCGAAGAAATTCTGGGTCGAGTCGACCATCAAGGCCTCACCAAACTCTTCGGAGCGTCGCTTTTCCAATCACAAGACGTCGATGTAACTTCAAAAAAAATGCTAAGCCTAAAACGTTCAAAACTTTCAGACCTCTCACAATTTCACAGTTCGAAATGGTGTCGAGCACGAGTTGTGCGGTATTTTGGGCGGTTCCGAGGGCAATTGGCAGCGTGACGCTCAGCCGGTGCAAAAGAAGATGATGTTCGGAGAACGAGGAATTCAGATTCCCAGCCGACAAGCCGAGGCACACTCCAGCGAAGAGACGTTCACAGAGGACGGCATTGTCGAGATTCCACAGGCTGTCATTGATGATATCGATGAGGAGGAGGTGCGGGAAGAGTTGATTTTGACCTGAAAATACCTCCAAATTCGTATTTTTTGACCCAAAAACCCTCAAAATTTGCAGATTTTGACCTAAAAATACCTTTTTCAGCTCGACGAGGACATTCTCCGTGTCAAAGTGGAAACGGACCGCGCGTTCTTCAACCATATGCTTCTGGCACGTCCGGCGGCCGTACCAATGACACCAGCACAAGCCATGGAGCGAGATGTACGAAAATTGGGCTTCTAGAGTCGAAAATGTTTGAAAATAGAGCTTTTCGGGGCCATTTTGAGCCAAAAATAGCTACAAATTGCGATTTTCCAGCGAAAAATTGAATTTGAAAATCGGTTGTTCAACTGAAAAACCCCAGAATTTTGTCAATAAAAATTGGAAATTGACTCCAAAATCGCCGTTTTTTGATCGAAAAACAAAGCAATTTTCAGCCAAAATTTGGGCTAAACAGCTTAAAATTGCATTTTCAGGGTCATTTTGGGCCTAAAAAGAGTGTTTTCGAGCTGAAAGAACCCATTTTTAGTGTCAGATTGGTCGAAAATGACAATTTTCTGGCGAAAATTGCTGGTTTTTTGTTATAAAAAATCCCAGCATTCCGCAAATCAATTGACTCAAAAATCGTAGTTTTTGACCATCTTTTCATGTCCAAATAGCTTGAAATTAGGCTTGTTACCTCGAAAAAATGCCTGGAAACATAATTTTAAGCCTAGTCTTGGTCTATAATGTTCCTTTTATTCTAAGCTTTAGGCCTGAAAATGGCTCCAGGACGTTTTAGAACCACGATGTTTCAGAACTTTTCTGACTATTTAAGGCTCATTTTCAGCCGATTTTGGACTAATTTTTCTTATGGGCTAATTTTAGCCAATCTATGTTTGGACCTTTTTGTGTCATTTTTGACCATTTTTCACTAATTTCAAGCACATTTTTGACAATTTTTGATTATTTTTAGCTCACTTTGACAGATTAATAGCTCATTTTCAGACCATTTTCAGCTCATTTTCGGCCGATTTTCGTCAATTTTTGATTATTTTTGGCTCATTTTATGGTCACTTTTGACTATTTCTCGCTTAATTCAAGCTTGTTTTCTTCCAATTCTACTAACTTCAGTCTATTTTTG